AAAAAAAAAAAAAAAAAAAAAAAAAAAAAAAAAAAAAAACATCAAATCAAGTCAAAACCTAAATAATGATGCTGACCAAGGTATAACAGTACTCATGGCACCCCACGGCTACAAAACTGAACACAGGTCACGCCAAAAGGGAGGGCGCATGTATCCAAGGTGGAAACAATCCATCAGACCAACAGCTAAACGCCAATCAGCCGCAGGTGGATAAGCTTCCTCTCCAAGCACCCCTCCACCGCTCTTCCTTCTGTCAGCCAGTGCACAATGGAGTGAGCCTAATCTTTTTCTACTGAACGAAATCATCTTTCTGCAGAATCTGCCTCACTCCATCCCCTAGAGCAGCCCTGCAATCTAGATCCACAATCTGGGGCCAACCTCACTCCCATTACGCAATGTGGCCTGAAGCATCCAACTCACCCTATTGAGACCAACTCGATGAGGACCGCAGTATGTTGGGAAAAGAGCGGAAAAGGCCCGCGAGAGCGCAAGCCTCAACAAGGGGTTGTTCCTTGCCATGGTGTTGCGCTGCATTGGCTGCAATCCAACCTGCAACCTGAATGCACTCTGGCATCGATTCTCTCATGAACCCACCTGACCTGAAATCACTCATTTCGAGTTGGCGTGTGGTTTCTTTGCCGGCATGAGCAGACCTGCTCAACAGGGACAAGGCCCATGGACCACATCAAAGTGTAGGGTGCTACTGTATTCCGCCGAACATAACGCTTGGGTCATTATCCCTGTATCTAGACTGAAGATTTCCAACATGAGCAGACCGGCTCAACAGAGACAATGCCCATGAACCAGATCATGTGTAGGGTGCTACTGTATTCCCCCGAACAAAATGTAGGGTCACTATCCCGGTATATAGACTGAAATTTGCCCCCAAAACAGCGATAATGACCATACGTTCTATTCGGAAAAAGATGGTACTGCTAACACCCCCGATCAACAGCTTAGACACGTTCCGTCTTGTGTCTGATCTAATGCCAATCCATCCCTCCATCCCTTGCTGAACTTTTTCGTTTTTTTTTTTTGTTTTTTTGTTTTTTTTTTGTTTACTTGTTTGTCTTTTTAATTCATCCCCTAGGTCTGGTGGTATTTTTGCGCCTAGTTTTGGATTTGCAACTATTTTTCGATTTATTCTTTTCTTTCAAGGTTTCCATAATTGGACCTTTGATTCCCCGCAGCCTCTGGTCATGACATTCTCGGTCAAAGTTGTTCAAGCCACCCCAATATACAGTCACCCTTGCGCAAAAGGACCTCCAAACCTTCCAACTTCCGTGTCGGTCGGACCTTTGGGCGACCCCGAATTTGGACAGGCTGCAACCGGTAGGTTGTTTCTCCCTCAGCAAACTCGCCATGGAGCTCATCCCCATCTGGACGACCACAACGTCCACCTACGTATGCCTGGTGAGTTTTCTCACCACCACACCACACTCACCAAGTGTGGACCGTTTGAAGACAATTTGGTGAGTTTACGAGTTTCTATTGGTTAGGTGGTGCGGCGAGGGCCTACTTTGGGGGGGTTTCAGCACCCTTTTCTGGTGGTCAGACCTCAGCACAGAATTCCCTGTTCAGTGACTGGGGTGGAGAGGCCCTATATCCATCCATCTATCACCTCCCAACGAGAGACTTTCCAGTTGCCACTCATTCTCTGGTCTGATTCATAAGCTGCCACAATCTACCCGGAATAGAATAAAAAAGGGGGAAAAAAAACTCAGCCCTCGTTCATGTGCCTTTTGACAACTTTCCTGATTTGACTACTTTTTATTTTTATTTTTATTTTATTTTTTTGGTGATTTGACAACGTTTTTTTTTCTTTTTTTTCTTTTCGTGATTTGACTACTTGAGTCCATTATTGAGGCACTGCTGCAAGAATCTGTTGGGGGTGCTGAGACTGTTCATGCAACCCTGCCAACTGGGGCCTGATCTCGTGCTGGTCTTTCCAGTGGCATTCCTACCTTCGTCCGGTTATTATATAGCTGTATTTGGGGTTTCTTTCAGTCTAAATATAGCTATAATGACCGTTCTTTGTATTCAGGGAAGAAGGTAGTAACATTTCCACGGATCCGTAAGAGTAGCTAGCCCTGTCCAGTTGATGTAGCTCAGTGGTTAGAGCACCGGTTGGAAATGCGCATTGTGGTATGAGGTTGCGGGTTCAAATCCGCAGCCTCAGAATGACGCTGGGTTGACTCATGGTAAGCTATTACAGACACTGCCTGCGGTGTGGTGTTGTATGTTGGGTCCTGGCCTATGAGGGGTTTGCCTGATACAGTTAGCAGTCTAATGAGGATGCAGGTACGGGTTTTTGGTTAGACTGCTCATGTGTGTTGGTTACCTTAGGCTCTGCTTTGGGGGGGGCAAGGACCTGAGGTGGGATGGGGTCCCGTTTGGGGGGAGGGTTGGCTTGGGGCAAGCTCTGCTGGAGGATATCGGTGGGGAACCTACAGTAGGGGATTGTCCCGTTTGGGGGGAGGGTTGGCTTGGGACAAGCTCTGCTGGAGGATATCGGTGGGGTACCTACAGTAGGGGATTGTCTTAAGGGACCCCGGTAGGAGGGGTGTTAGTAGACAGACTCTGGTGGAGGAAATCGATGGGGAACCTGCAGTAGGGGCTGTCTGAGGGGGATCCTCCAAGATAGGATGGTCTGGGTCCCATAACTTAGTTGCTGACTGTAGATAGGTACCTGTCGTGGGTCCAGAAACTGACCTCTACAACACCCTTTTTTTTTTTCTTTTTTTTTTTTTACCAATAATAAGATTGAGGCCGGGGTCCTCACAGTCTGCCCGGAATGAACATACGGAAACCGCTAATGATGACCATGATGATACGAATGAAACTGATTAATGATGCTAATGAGAATGATGATTCAAAAATATGAAAAATTAAAGAAAAATATGCTATATCAGCTATTCTGGCTTCTTAATCCTAGAACAACTCCCAGCCCTCCCTATACTAGGACACTGTACCTCAAAGACAAAAGCACCCTGGACTTTTGAAAAAAAAAAAAAAAAAAAAGAGTAGCCAGCCCTCATCCTAGACATACCAAAAGATCCAACCCCTGTAAGAGCAAATGGTTCGTCTTCTCTGTTAAATATATAACCATTCTCGAAAACATTCTGTTGCCACTCCTTCTGACCATCTTTTTTTCTTTTCTTTTTGTTTGGCAAAACATCATTAGTGCAAGGAAAATGAGCAAGAGCGAAATGGCAGAAATCCAAATTGCAACATCACATTGAAAGCCAGATATTGGTGAACCGTCCAGAAAGCAGAAGTGCGCCAATATCACACCAAAGGATACCACAGCAATGAACTCAATTGTCAACGTCAGCCATTATCTTGCCACCATCAACAACGCGTTCAATGTCTCTTCTCCTACTTGGCGCTCAGCACCCAGACTACAATCACACAGCTCATATTCTAGCCTATGCTAATGACAATGCACCTGAAGACTTCCACAGCAGAACCCAAACTACGTGCAGATGTCGACCATGCAAACCTTCGCGACGGTCCGGTACGTGCTCTCTCTTTCACTCTCGCTGCTCACCCTCGTCTTCACCCACATCCTCGTCCTCATACAAGAAGACCACCACCAAGCCCCGCTAACCTTAGATATACAGCCCGGCTATGACTGATATCTGGCGCTGCATCCAGCAGCGCCCACCACCTTGGGACCGTGCTCGCCAGGCACTTCC